TATCAAACACCGGAAGGCAGGTGTCACAGCCAGGCTGCCAGCTGTCCTGTCATCCCAGTTAGATCAAGGCGGGAACCAGAGGCCACCGACTGAGACTCACCCTCTGTGCTTAATAGGATCACCCGAGATGCTTAGAGGACAGAAGGACAAAGAGACCAGAAGCCTGTGCATGCCCACAGCGGGGCCCTCATGGAATCGAGTAGGGAAGCCATGTTTAACATCTCAGTCATCTGTTCCTTCTGAAGGTGCTCATGGTATCTCATTGTCCCCACTCCAGGTAACCCAATCTCCAGTCGCCACAGCCACATTCCTGCTGCTGTTTCAGACCAGAGCCGCTGTACTCAGTGGATAAAAGGGTAAGTTCTGTGCTCCTGAGAAACCCCCCAGGGTCCAGCGTGAGACCTTAGCTCTCAAAGATGCCCGCACCACTTCCTCCCAAGTTTCCCTGCACTGCAGTGGCGTGACCTAAGCCTGCACCCACAGTGAACCGTGCCAGCTCATCTTTCGCTTCCCCTTCTCTCTGCCCGTCACAGTCCCACGTGGACGTACATAGGCCCACCTGTCCCAGCCACGCAGCCAGGCACTATTTGCAGCACAGGTGTGTTCCACTGTCTGTAGCTCACAGTGCTCATGAATCCGTCCACAAGCTGTTGCTTCTAGCTGCCCCAGTCCATGCCTCTCTACACTTTCTTGCCCTGTTTCATACTCTCCTGGGACATAGAGATTTCTGGAACTCCTGCACCCAGGGAACCTTCTTGCATCAGGACCTTGGGAGAATTCCGGGATTTTGTTAAGTGTGTTTTCCGTCTTTTGAAAACCTTAGTTCATGCTCATGTGTGCCACTCTGCACCATGTGCGAACAGCCTGCCTTGCTCTGCTTTCTGGATTTTTTTTCTTTTTTCTTTTTTTATTTTTTTCGGAACCAGGGTTGAACTCAGGCCCTTGCCCTTGCCAGACAAGCACTTTTTGTACTGAGCTATCGCTTTTCGTACCCGGCCCCTCTCTGCCTTCATCTGCTGCCTTTTCCAACCTGTGGTACTATCCTCCTGTCATGTTCACCCATATTTCTGAATTTCATCCAAATCAGCTGGAGTTTTATAGCTTCTTTCCCTTTAATATGATGCACTTGAGGTGTTCTGATATGAGCTCTTGCTTCAAAGAACAGGAAAGTAATTTGTATCTGTATTCACAGTGCCACTTGCAATCATCCTGTGTTCACATTGAATGGTTTGTTTTCAAGGCCTGGCACATATACGCTCCTCTAAGGAGAATATTCTCAGGTACTGAGAATACTCTGGCCATACCTGTTGGAACAGAGAACAGTGTGATATAGAAAACACTGGAATATACTTCCATTTCTCCTCTCTTGGATTTGGGACGATTTTCAATATTTTACTTCAATATTTGTTTAATTTTTCTGGCAATGGAGATTGAATCCAGGAAGCTACTTCCCCTTACCTTTTAAAATAAATATTTTAGAGAGTTTCTGGCTAAGTTGGCAGGTCTGGCCTTGAAGTTAGTGTCCTCTTGCTTTGCCTCCAAAGTTTCTCACACTCATTAAAATATTTATATATTAAATCTCAATTAGTGGTGCATCCTCTCAGGTTTTATGTTTTTAAAAACTTTACATCACCTTTGTTTCTAGAGATATATGTACTGTATTCTGAATTCATTATGAAGAATTTATCTGATCAGTAATTTATGGCTATTAACATGATGTTTTTTCTTGTATTGATGTTTGGTGAATAAAATACTGTCCTTTGAAACTTTGTTCTTCTTAAATGTTTTTTTGTTCATGTTTTCTCGGACATTGAGCAATTTGCTTACAAGGTAGCGTATGGTTTCTATTGTATTTCTTTACAGTTTATTTATTTGGTACAGGGTTTCGTTACGCAGGTCATACTCATAGTGATCCTCGTGTCTCATCCTCCCCAGTGCTGGGATTACAGGTTTGTGCCACCACGCCCAGTTTCATGTGCCAGTTCATCGCAGTGCTGGCATGGCATGTGGTACCAGGGATCAAACCCAGGTTCTTTGCCTACCAGGCAGGCGCTAGACCACTGAGCTGTCTCCCCCACCCTTCATTACATTTCTTGTGTTTTAGGTCTGTCTTAGTATCCTGGAATTTTGAATACATATTTCTCATTCAATTTCAATTTTCCCCTATCCCCGTGATCGCTGTCATGGTTTCTTATATCCTCAATGTCCTGAACTCTTTCTTTTGTGTAATTGACCTCTTTTTATTAATGTTGTCCTTTTGGGTGTGACACAAGACCTGGTCTCTGCTGTTGCATCTGGACTAAAAGCAGATCTTGCAGAGTAAGAACTTGAGATAAAAATATCTTTTTGATCTCTATAACTTTGTGAAGTTTAGTTTATGTTTTGGTCATAGAATAGAAAGAAAGTACATAACAATATCGAAAAAATTAATCTGGGGCAGGCCAAATAGCTCAGTGGATTAAAGTGCCTGCAAGCAGGCACAGGGGCCGGGGGTTTGATCCCTGTGCCTGCCATGCCAGCCTCGCCCTCGGGGTATGCTGAGACTGCAATTGAGAGTGGGTGTGGTGGTGCACGCACCTGTAATCCCAGCTCTTGGGAGGCTCTAAACAGGTAGATCACTGTGAGTTTGACCTAATAATGAGACCCTGAACACCATGCAGACCCTTCCCTAAAATACAAAGAATAAATAAATAAATAAATAAATAGAAATAAAAAGAAAAAGAAAAAGAAAAAAATTGATCCACTCTTGGAAAGTATCATTTGGAGCTCATCTTTATTCCCATGCCAGTGGTTCAAGCTCTTGTCTCCTGCAGGATGCTTCTCCAGGTGTTCATATTATCTGAATGTCTCCATTTCATCCATACAACAGATAACAAAGAGCAGGAAGGCTAACCTCACTAGTTTAGAGCTAGATATGAAACCATTGTCATTAATTTAGAAGCATAAGATTTCTTGGGTATGGACATGGAAGAAATTACCAAATCCAAGCTCAATGTCTCCACACAATGACTTCCTGACCAAATGAACTCATCTATCAGTACATGCCTCAGTCTTTGAAATGTTTGTCATCTTTTAGAGGTAGAGGACATAATTAAGTTTAGTGTTCTTTTAATTTGGCCACTCTTTATGGTTTATCTTGTGCAATGGATAGTCAAGCCTATAAGATAATATTAAAATAATATAAGATGTACTATCCCACCCCAGGTTCCCACCAAACTTTTTGTTTAGTGATGTCATACATACAAATGTACTGTGCCAAACAAAATTTTATAATATAAAACACACTTAGTAAATTATGTCTTTTTACAATGTAGTTGTGTGTGCCCTTTGCTTTTCAAATATTTCTAACAAGATTTCCAAGTTATTAGCATATGGAGGATGAAATGGAAGTTGTATAAAATTTCTAGAAAAAATTTGATGTTCTTATTGAATAGTTCTTAAATCTTATAAACCAAGTGACACACATCATAATATGAAGCAAAAGAAATATATATTATATGGTTCTTTGTCCCACTTAATTTCAAAATGAGTATTGTTGATTCCAGAAATCTGTGTTCAGCACAAATGTATAAACATTCAATTTAGAAACTATGCATTGTGGAAAAAGACAAAATTTTAATTCAACTACTGTCTTTGACTGAGATTAAATCACATATTCAAAATAATGCTCTAAATCTTAGAGTATCTAATGCTGAGATCACAAATGATGTGCTTATTAATTCCTTGAAGTATACCTGCTTTACTCCAAATGTACTACAAAGCTAAAGTGTATTTCTTCTTTCAGATATTTCATTAAAAAATAAGATGTCTAAAATATGTAATAAAAAAGAAATATGGTAAAATCATTCACACATATTTCCTTGTATAATGTAGCTAGTTGACCATTAAAGTTTCAATGTGCACTTCACATGAAAAGTTCCTGGCCTAGAATTAGTTTGTCACTCAAAATGTAGGCTGATTTTTCTGTAAAACAAAAAGAAAATAAGGCTTTAAATGTATGATATAATCATTGAGACACATGTGAATAACACACTACTAGGAGATGGCAAGATCAGAGTATTGACAGAGAGAAAGGGGAACCGTCAACTCTAAAATGGGATCACATGCATATATGCACTTCCCAAGGCATGAAGAATGCCAAGAAAATCTGTCACTCTGTGTTGGCTCTTTTTCACTTAGCAACATGATGGTTAGACAAACTGTCTGATCCAGATAGGGTAAAAGAGCATATCAGATCCCTGAAGAGTCCTTGTGGTTGTCCTTAATAAGGACCACTGCATCTGCTCTCCTGTCAAAAAAGGGAGAAAAGTTAGAGAGCACCACAGGTTTTGTACCCCTGGGGAACCCAGCAGGGGGATCACATGTATGAGAAAACCACAGCATGTGATGGTGTTCATTAATGCGGTGAGGGCCATCCGATCCCCTTGAGCAGTTCTACCAGGTAATATCTGGCCCCAGGGGAAGGGCCTTGACTTAGGAATGAGGGCCTCAACACACCCGTGTTTAGGAAGACTGCCCAGAGCTCATAACCTAGAGCACCCTGTCTAGAGTAAAAGACTGAAGGGATTTCAAACAATACTACATTGTTTCCAGAAAAGGAGAAATTGGCCTGCAGCTGTCATATATACTGTAGTCCCTGTGAAGGAGCCCAGGCACTGTTAAAGCTCAATTATGTGGTCTGCAGTGTGACAAGAGAAGGCCTTATAGCCCATAGAAGAAGCTGGGCTCCCAGAAAAAGAACTGCCACCTCTGTTCTTATATGCAGGACACGATAGAAGGGCAACTCAGCAGTAGGCCAGGGTCCAATCAAATATGTTCCCTGGGTTTCAGGGGACAGGCTGATGAGAATACTTACCCAGCTGCTTCCCACTACAGTGGTCACAGGTGGAGCTACAGAGAGACTTTTACTAAGCCAGGGAGGTATCTGAGCCAGAGGTTTTATGCTCTGTCTTTCTTTCTCCCCCAGGTGCCTGGATCACCAGATCTCCTGCACATTCATCATGTCTAAGCAGCAAAAGAAAAACCTTCCTGATTCTGAGAAAATCTGCCTGGGAGAAGAGAAGACCCAGGTAAACGAGGAAATCCTGCGCATGCCTATCAAGAAGAGATTATTATACTATTTATATTCTTCTCCTGCAGGGGTTACCACTGAAATAGGTTCCCCTTCTCAGGCACAAAGCCCTCCAGAGGGATCTCAGCAAGAAGTCTGCAGCACCAATGCTGCACATGAATCAAATGTAAGATCAGAAGAAGCTGGAAAAGGCAAAAGTAAGAAAAAACAAAAGGCTTCCACCAAGATGGCCACAACTGCAGAAGTTCAGGCGGCTGCTACCACAAAGAGAAAGTTACGCTCTTCATCTCGTGCTGCACAGGTTACTCCTGAGATGGGTTCTGCTTCTCAGTCACAGAGCCCTCCAGGGGGATCTCAGGCAGAGGTTTCTACCACTGAAGCTACAACTACAGCAAAACGACAATCAAAAAGAGAACGAAAACCCAAACCAAAGGGGAAGAAGAAGGCATTCACCAACATGGTCAACAATTTGGTGAATCACATCATTGAAATGTACCAAAAGAAAAAGCCAATTATGAAAAAAGCTATGTTGAAGGTTATTGATAAAAAGCATAAGAAACTCTTCCCAAAACTACTGAGAAGAGCTTCCTTCAACATAGAAGTAGTGTTTGGCGTGGAATTAAAGGAAGTTGATGCCATCAAAGGCTCTTACAGCCTTGTCGACAAAATGAGTCTCCCCTACAATGGCGTGGTGAGTCGTGGCAAAGGGTATCCGAAGACCGGTCTCCTGATGCACCTTCTGGGATTGATCTTCATGAAGGGTAACTCTGCCACTGAGGAGAACATCTGGAAATTCCTGAATAAGATGAAAATATATGACGGGCAGAAACACTTCCTTTTCGGGGAGCCCAGGAAGCTCATCATGAAAGATCTAGTGAGACTGAAATACCTGGAGTACCGCCTGGTGTATGACAGTGATCTTCCTCACTATGAATTCCTGTGGGGCCCAAGAGCCTATGCTGAGACAAGCAAGATGAAAGTCCTGGAGTTTTGGGCCAAGATCAATAATACCGTCCCCAGTGCCTTCGAGGCCAGGTATGAAGAGGCTTTGCGAGAGGAAGAACTAGAAGCTGAAGCCATAGCTTCACTGAGTGATAGCGCTGAAGACACACAGAGCGATCGTTCCATTCTAGAGGTTACCACTCTTCCCACAGTCATCGAAGTTGATGAAGAAGACGAAGAGATTATAGTCTGTGATTGAAGAAAGCAGGCAATGTTCCCAGCAGTGAAGTGTAGCAGTGTATGGATGGAACAGAGTGCAGCATTAGTTTCTGTTCCTACTTCACCTGGGCAATTTAGAGATTTATCTACAAATATATTTACATATATAACTAAATATAGAAATATTTGTATTTCTGAGTTTATAATCTAAGCCTCTGAAACATTTTTCTAACATTTGTTTATGTGTTTAATTTTTTGTTCTTTTGTATAATCATGATAAAGCCTTCATAAACATTACTGATGCAGTGAGGAGAACACAAATTTGAATAAGCATTTATTTTAGAACGTAAGAATAGTAGAAATGTAACTGTAATGGAGAATTAAGAAGTATTTCAATAGGCTACTATTTAGCTCTGTCATCTATTATATCTATATATAAATAAAAAGTTAACCTGCAAGTGCTTGTGTCTGGCTTCTTCAAGAATGAGGACTTAGTTATAGTAAATCACATGCCTACGCCCACCAGGGTATTCCCTACACATTAGTGCACCATCTGCTCTTAATACGTTTCATGGTATTACTGAGAGAAATATCCCAAAGTGTTGTGGTAGCTGAGCATCCCCTTGAGCACCAGAAGCACCTGTCCTAGAAGGACAAATGTGGTACCCAACGTGAGAACGAAAGGATGAATGAAAAGAGCTAAGGAGGGAGGAAGGTGGCTTGAGACAGGACTCATCCAGTGTCTGTTCGCTGACCAAGCAAGCATGGAGCCTTGGAAGTGCCTGTCCCCAGCAAGAGGTAAACAAGGTGAGAATGCCTGCCCTATGCCTCACACTGGCCAGGAACAGAGGATAGCCTAGCTCGGTGGAGCTGAGGAAGGATACACTGAGTGTCTTTTGTTGAGATAGAGCACACCCAACTTTACAGGAAGAAGGGCTCATTTAGCCCGCAGTTTGTAGAGGTTTCAGCCCATGCGCAGCTGGCTCCATAGCAGGGTGGATGGAAGACGCACATCACAGGGAAGGAACGGTGATGGTGGGCAGAAGGTACCAAAGCACAAAGCATCGACTTCACTTCCCAGTGTTTTTCTATCCTATTTGGGGTACTCAGGGCAGCTATCACCCACACCCTGAGTCTTGCGCCGTGAATCCATGCCAGTGTCACACCTTCACACATAGGACCCATTGGGGTTGCAGAGGGAGATGAAAGCACAGACCTTACCCCTGAGCCTGACATGCAGAATGGCTGTGACCACATGCTATGGCTGCACTTGGTTTCCAGAATCTCCACCTGAAGCCGGGAATGAAAGCGACCTGTGCTCCTGTCCCAGCACTTGTGAACTCAGTCCCTGAATAGGCAGTCAAAGGTCATCATGTGCAGTGGGTGGTGAGAAGGGAACTGTTCTGAGCTGCTGGGGTGCAGAGAAGAGCCTCCACTCCACTCTTTACTCTTCTATCAGGAGGCTCCTGGGGGGATCCATTTAGGACACAATCAATTTCCTTTAGTGTGTTCTGTCTAATTTGAATTAAATCATGCTTTGTTTTTGGATGTGTAACTCAAACTCAGGATCGTGCACTGCCGGGAAGTCACTTGTGTTGCTGAGCTACCTTGGTGGGCCTCAAACTACTTTTTGTTTGGTTATGAAATGACAGACCAGGAGTGGCTTCCACGGAACAGCCCCTGAGAGGAAAGGAAGGTTTTGGTCCTCTGAAATGGGTGATTTATTTACTTTTTACACAGTGACTCACCAAGTAGCCCTGGCTGGCCTCCTAACCAGCCAGGGTTCTCTTGCTTCAGGCTCCAGAGCACTGGAATCACAGGTATGTGCTGTGCTGCCATGCCCCGCTCTCAATTGTTTTGCGCACTCTGTGTTTCATCTGCTGAGGAAAGCTCCCTCATTTTGACAGTGGGTGACTTAGACCACAGCGCGAACCATTGCTCAGCTTTTCTTGCTGAGCAGCACTTTATCTAATTAAGTCCTCCTGCTCTTCAAATGTACTCTAATGTCTGAATCGTCCTGAAATAAAAATGAACTCTTTTTGTAGCAGTAGGCAACATCAAATTAAGCATCATTAGAACCAGCACTTCGTATGTATTGCAGGCATTTCAGATTCACGGAAAGCACATGTGCATCAGTTTTTCCAGGAGCTATGAAACCAGCTCCACAGTTGGAACCTGCACCTCCTAGAGCACAGTTACTGATCCAAATGAAGTCAGCTCCCAAGTGAGAGGCCTGGGATGGGACCCTGATGATGTATGACTGTGAAGCCTTTGCTGTTCCACACCTCTGGCCTGACACTGACTTTGTTTCCCTTAACTCACCCCTCTTTTTTATATTTTAATAATTTTATTGAGAAAAGTAGCAATGAGATAGTTTCAAAATAGGTTAGTAGTACAGTTACAATAATTAATACATTGCATATTGTTGTCTCTGTAGTAGTTATTCATACTACAAGATGCAGACATGATATCATGTCTAAACACTGTTAGTTCAAAGCTTCTCATTGAACTAAGAGAAAGTAGCTGTATACTTATGCCATTTTATATATACAGATATATATATATATATTTTTTTCCAGTACAAAATGGTCCATTTATATCCCATTTTTTGTTTACTTTTGTCAGAGATGGGTATTCCATTGCCATTCATATATTGTAGGTGCAAGAATTCAGCAGAATAATCCAATATAGTGCAGAAGTCTACAATAGTAGTGGTTCATAGATTTATTTATTTTTCCCCATAATTTTATTGAGAAACAAACAGCAATGAGACAGTTTCAAATCAAATTGGTAGGATAGTTTTCAACAGTCAACACATCGCATACATTCTTCCCAGTGGTCAATTGCTGTACAAGATGAAAACACAATATCCTATTTAGAAACACCATTAGAACAAATCCCTCTATTCATTAAGAACTCACCCCTCTTTACACTACTCCTTCAAATCTCCCAGGTGATGAAGAAAGTGATTCTGTTTTGGAGATGGGGAATTGTGCTTGTTAAGTGACAGATCAGTGTAGGGGTAGTAGGATAAAGAAATGTTAAGATAGGCTCTTGACCTTATAGTCATTCCCCAAAAGGAATGTAATTGCTGTGTATAAGAAACATACAATAAGGAAATAGTACAATAACATACAATAAGGAAACAGTACTCTGTGACCAATCTTCTGCATTCCAAATCACAATCTAAATTATGCATGCTTATGTTATATTTCTTTCCATTTGGCTTTTTATGTGTCTATTCAAATCATGGTTTTGAACACTTTTTTAAACGTATTTGGTACGGGGTTGCACTACACAGCTTCGACTCATAGTAATCCTCCTGTTTTCATTCTCCTCAGCATTGGGATTATAAGTGTGTGCCACCATGCCCAGACTCGGTTGCCAGCTCAGCATGCCCAGGATAGGGCTGGCTCTGCATATGGTGCTGGTGATGCAACCTGTTCCCTGAGCTTGCCTAAGCAGGTGCTTAATCGCTGAGCTATCTAGCTGTCCCTAAATCATGGGTTTGAACACTTCTGAAGCTGCTGTCAGTGTACTGTTAGAAGGGTCAATTCAATGAATACTGGGAGAAACTTATGCAAATGTATTTAAATATGTGACTGTGGTACTATCTTCAATGTTCAGACTTCTGCCAGTATATATTTTTAATAATATGATAGGTTTTTGTTAAACATTGTATGTGCTACTCTTTTGATATTTTGCTTCAGTTTGACTTTTTAAAAGTAAGATGCTTCCCCTTTATCAGTGAATTTATGTTTCATATTTTTCTGGACTTGCATTTTCAATAAAATTCTCATGTTGTTTTCCTATTTAAGCAAATAAGAGTGCCTTGGTAGGTTAGGTTATCCTTTGTCAATGCAACAACATATTGGTGTATTGTTTCTCTTTGCCAACCATGGAAACAAAATAATTCTAAAAATTTCTCTCTCCAGTAAATAAGAGCACCGGATCATTTTCTGAGACAAGATCTTTTGGGTCTGCTTCATTTTCATGCATACATGGTCACATTTTCTCAGAATATTATCTCTTCTCTCCTATATTCACAACTCAACTCTTAATTATTATTGTTACCTTTATTTTTAGCTTATGTATTTCCATACATTGTTTCAAGCAACGTCTTCCTTCATACTACCTCAGGTACATTTTGCAATAGTAGAAGAAAATGGGTTAGACAATTGTGGTAAGTCTCAACCTAGGGCAAATGGCACAGTGTGAGTTCTGGTATAGTGAGGAGCAGAATTCTAGTTCCAGAGCTGCTCTATCCAGATGTGCAATTCAAGCATGTTATTGGACTCTGTGAGTCTCAGACTGCTTCAGAAATTCTGTTTGTCAGATTAGAAGACTGGTTAATTTGTGCAAAGGACTCAAGTCCTGAATGCCTGGTGTACACTGAAGCTTTAAATATTGCCTATTATTTCCATACTTATTTAAACTGGAGGGGTACGGTTAGCCCTGCTAATTTTTTTTTATTGAAGAGATAACAGAGTGTGTCCTACATTCTAGGATGTGGAAGAGATAAACTCCAAATGCTCCTTACACAGAAACTCTAAAAGTAAACTTTTATGTGCCTTTATCTTTCTCAGCTGAATATAACTCAACTTTTACAATTTGCTTTAACAAATAAATTGATGTTTTATCTAAACCACTCTTGTCTTTCTTAATTTCACCACTACCAAAAACCTAGATCTGCCTTACACTTTCCAAGAATAAATACACAGAAAGTCTCTTCCATCTCTACACCTCAACACAAGCAGAAACACTAATTTATATTCTCATTTAATGAAATAGAATCCCTAACTCATGACTAAAGTTGTCAAGTATGTTCTGAGTTTTCCAGCATCAAAAACATATCATCGTTATGCCATATAGTGTTTACAGTCACTGAATATCAGTAAAATGGAAAGATTGCAAAGCAAATTAAAGGAGGAGAAATGAAGGAGGGAAAGAAGGGGAAGGGAACTACAAAAAGAAACACCCTCTATTGTGCACATGTGTACATTTCCAGAGATGACTGTAAAATGCACGTACTGAAAACAT